AAAGTTGTTAACCAGGTAACCAAAAAGACAAAAGGAAAACACTAAGTTATTATTGGAAGTAGCAATTGCAGGAAGCAGCTGCCACACTGAGGCTGGTGGAATAAAGACACTGGAATGACTAAAATTTAGAAGCTTGAGTACAGTCCCATGGAGCTGAAATTCGGATACCAGAAGATGAGGCACTGCTCACCTGGTACTGTTGTCTCTGAGGTAGGACAAAATGAGGATGGTTCTGCAACTACAGGAAAAACTGCAAACTGAGTTAAGCTGCTGCTATGAGAGAAAATAATGTGTCTACTAGTGTGAAGAAATAATGCTATAGTAAGGCTCACAGGCATAAAAAGCAGGGATAGAGAAAACATGTAAGAAGTCCCTTTACCCTCCTCCCCGCCTTCAGTATCCTTCTAGAACACTCTTAACAGCAGTGCCTAACAGGAAGCCAGCTGGCAAAGCAGAAATGTGGTTTGAAGAGTTCCTGAACCAGCATTATCATGCAGAGTTCAGAAGGGTGCATTTTCAGCTGAAAGATAATGGCTTGGTAACTGACAAAGTCTATCTCTTGGCTACTCAGCATCCATATTTACCCAACTATATGTATTCAATCTTCTAACCACCAACAAAAAGAACTTTACATTTCCACCCAAGATTCAACTATCCTATATATGAATGAAGACATTTTTACCTTCTCCCAAAATGAAAAGATACAAAGTGCTAATACTCATTGAATCAATTTCTGGGATACAGTCATGCCACCCATCTCTGTAGCATGTCAGTTACTCCTCAAATTCAGTCACAGTCTCACCTGAATGTTCTTCTACTAAAGACTAATTTGTACCGTTAACCTCTAGACAAATTTGTTTAAAATAATAAGGGAAAGAAGGACAGAGGGAAATAGTTTCTCTCTCTCTTTCTAGACACACACACACACACACACACATACACACACACAAATACATATATAGTAAGCAAGGATGAAAATATCCAAAGCTTTTTTATAACTGACCACAAGACCATAGTTGATATTTATCATTTCTCTCTTCCTTTCTATGTTTCATTTGTCCTCAGGTAGCACCTCAGCTTATTGGAGTTCTTTGCTCAGTAGTGTGATCCAAACTTTCAATACTGGAGTATATGAATATTCAGTTGTCCCTAACAGTTTTAAAATTGCTATAGTTTTATATTAAATTTCATTATTGTACATGGAAATACTAAGAGGTTCCTCAGAGAATCCCAGACATAGTTTCTCCCTGGTCCCAGACACAGTCCACAGAACCTTCATTGTGTAGCAGCAACTCAGTTCTTCCTCAGTAATTTGGAGGCAATCATCCCAGCCCAAAAGGGCCAGGTGTCAGTCTCAACTTTCAATTCAGTGCAGACATTGTTGTGTTTCCTGGCAAAAATATTCTGCCATTGGGAACCAAGACCTCCAAAAACCAACAGAAATGAAAAATTGTAAGTATGAAAGGCAAAACTTCTGTGAGTGGTCATGAGGTGGAATATTTGAAGATATCTATTCCCACTACCCTCTTGATTCTTGGACCATTGTATTTTGGTAATAGAAGAGACAGCATCACCTATTGGTTGCTGATTCAAAGTGTATTTCAATCTAACAGAACTCCATTCCTCAACTGGCATTGCAAGGAGTTCAAGAGGAAATTCCTCCATTCAATTAAGCCAACTGCTTCTGGATGGTGGGGGTCTATGGTAAGATCAGCAAATTCCATGGGAATGAGCCCATTGCTGCACTTCTTTGGCTGTGAAATGAATTCTTTGATTAGGAGCAATGTTGGAATGCCATAATGGTAAATAAAGCATTCTGAAAGTCCACAAATGGTTATATTTGCAAAAGCACCACAAACAAGGTAAGCAAATTCATATCCAAAACACATGTCTATTCTAGTGGGGACAAATCTCTGCCTCCTCTATAATACAGGGATCCACTGTCATCAGTCTGTGCTTGGTAGCTGGCTGGTCTTCTAGGGAATAGTGCTATACTGGGGGCTCAGTGCTGTTATTCTCTGCTGTTGGTCCTTTAAGCACTCCTCAGTAACAGTAGCCAGGTCAGCCTGTGATGTTAAGCCTGTGAATGGCCTCCATTCTTGATCCTGTGACCACTTTATACATGGGTTCATTCAGTGGGCTGTATGATGGCTGGTGAAAGAGGCTGAGTGATATATAAGAATATGACACTTTTTCTACACTATTATTGAGCACTTCCTCTATAGCAGATACTCTTTGGAGGGCATTCACGTGAAATATAAGTGTCTTCATGCTGTACCCATTATGAGAGACGTATCCACACACTTCTTTCCCAGGCCTCTTCTTACCAATATTCAAATCCTATTCTTATCAAGTCCCTGAACATCCAGCCAAGCTCTAAGAAACTGCCCATGAATCAGAGTAAGTCCATACTTATAGCTATTTCTGAGTTCAGACAAAGTGGATAACCAAGTGTATTTTTTTAAGTTCTGGGCTTGGGTGTATTTTACATTACCACCATCCAGAGACACTCCTGAGTGGAAGTGTGCTACTGCACTGTCCACTCCAGTTTGCCCCAGAATACTGTCTTACCATCTGTAAATACAGCCTGAACTTCCTCCTTACTCAACTGGTAATAAGAAACTTCCTAGTGAGGCCACAGGTATGGATTGAAGGAGAAGGGCCAGGAGTTGATGTTGAAGGAGTAAAGCCATCTACTTAGGTAACTTAGTTGGGTCTTCTGGATGTGTGCGAGGTCAATCTCTTTTATACTATTTCTACTTGGTGGTAGATTGCTTCTGTGCGCACTTGACTTTATGCAGCCAACTTTTATGGCTAGGAAGGGCATACAATTCATAATGGAAAACTCAGGCGACACGTAAGGCATTCAGTATGAGTATCGAGCTGGAGCTGTTTCTGGAAAGGAGAATGGTTATCTTGAGAAGAGTCATAGATTGGCTTCAAAACCCTGAGTTTTACATTATGATTCTCCAATTGTTGTTTGGCAGAGACTTCCTGCAACATCCTACTTGCCACAGACATGCCAAGTATCATTGCATCTACTGGGTTATAAAGAAGAGCAATTTACACTTCAGTCTATACTTGCTCTGGTCCCCCTCAGAACTGGCGGCTTTATTGATTTAATACGATTACTTGTAAATGGGAATTGAAGTAGCTCACTCGAATGTAGGAGATATTACCTCTAAAATCCAAATGGGTCTACCTAGCGTTTTTTCTCTACTGGGGGACTTGCAAGGTGCAGCAACTTATCTTTCACTCCGGTGGCAATATTTTGAGATGTTCCATACCATGTGACCCCCAGGAATTTCATCGAGGTAATGAGTTTCTGAATTTTCATGGGGGTTTATTTCCTATTCTCTCATTCACATGGGTCTTATTAAATCATCTAAAATACTTGCCACTTCCTGTTCAGGTCCTGATCAGATCCAATCAACATAACGGTATCAATGCAGTGGACTAGTGTGATTTTGTGTGAACTGTCAAGGTTATCATAATCTCTGGAGATTATATTATGGCAGAACATAGGATTGTTGATATAGTTCTTAGGCTACTTCAGGTAAAAACAAACTGTTTCTGGTGGTCCTTGCAAACTAGTATGGAAACAGAAGTATTTGAAAGTCAATAATGGCATACTAAGTGCCAGGGACTCTTGATTTGTTCCAGAAATGAGGTGACATCTAAATATCAACTGCAGTTGGAGTCACCTAATAAAGTTTTTGATAACATGTGGTTATTCTCTAGGATCCCTCCAACCTTTGTACAGGCTGATGAGGCAAATTGAATGGGGAGTGAGAGGTATGACTACCCTTGCTTTTTGTCACATCTTTAATGGTGAACCTAATCTCTGAAGTTCCATCAGGGATAAGGTATTACTTGTGGTTTCCAATACTGGTAAGGGCAGGAATTTCCACGGGCTTCCACTTGACTCATTTTTACCATAATGGCCCTCAATGGGTAAAGATTCAATGAGACCACTGCAGAACATGCAACAGAATTCTCCTGCCTCTGAGTTATCCCACCTGAGTAAGGAGAGAGCTGCCTTATGTGTCCACTCCCTCAATTACTGGCTGAGGGCTGTTCTCACATATAGGAGGAATAGAATCTGGAGGCCAGAGAGAAACCGAACAGGGCACCTGCAGCATCTGATATAGTTATTTGGATGGGGAGGTTTCTGAGTTCTACTTTTAACACATTGAGAAGTTAATGACATCTAGCAGGCTGTTGGATTAGTGAGTCTGAAATTGAGGAAAGAGAGTTCTAGCTCTTCCCCTAAATTCCCATGGCTCTGTGCTTAGCTCTGTCATAGCATTTACTATGCTTTACTTGAATGACCTACTTATGTGCTTGCCTTTTGACCAGAATGGAAAGGGGCAGTATCTTTTTTTGTTGTTGCTTTTCTGAAGTGCCCATTCTGGGGCCTGCCACACAATAGTTGCTCATTAAGTGAAGTGCATGTTTTCCTCCTCACCAATATTCCTGTGCTGTTTTAGAAAACTCTTCCAGAAATGGTACAGTAACAGCTAATATATAACGAAGAGAGCATCAGCTGCATTTGGACACTGGCCCTGTGCCTAGTTACCTTTGGGCAGTGGGGAAAATACTCTTCCCAGGGAAAGCTGGAGTGGTTGGAGCCTATAATTAACATATAGTGTGTATGCTAATATTATATGTCCTATACTAGGATACAATGCAATGTACATGCATTTAATTGATTGTCTTGCACTCTAAAAGAATGCTAAGTCATTTATTGACACCACATGCAATTCCTAAAACTCAAAAATTGACTGATAGTATTCATACAGAGTTTACGTTATTTCCTGAGAATAAAAACAATGAATTACTAACAGTAAGGCAAAACAGGCCAGGCACAGTAGCTCACACCTGTAATCCCAACACTTTGGGAACCTGAGGTGGGCAGATCACCTGAGGTCGGGAGTTTGAGACCAGCCTGGCCAACAAGGGGAAACCCCATCTCTACTAAAAATACAAAATATTGACGCTGCAGACCTGCGACCCAGAGCACCTCGGAGGCGGTGAATAATAGCTCTTCAAGTCTGCAATAAAAAATGGCCTCCAATAAAACTACATTGCAAAAAATGGGAAAAAAAAAAAAAAAACCCAGAATGGAAAGAGTAAAAAAGTTGAAGAGGCAGAGCCAGAAGAATTTGTGGTGGAAAAAGTACTAGATCGACGTGTAGTGAATGGGGAAAGTGGAATATTTCCTGAAGTGGAAGGGATTTACAGATGCTGACAATACTTGGGAACCTGAAGAAAATTTAGATTGTCCAGAGTTGATCGAAGCATTTCTTAACTCTCAGAAAGCTGGCAAAGAAAAAGATGGTACAAAAAGAAAATCTTTATCTGACAGTGAATCTGATGACAGCAAATCATAGAAGAAAAGAGATGCTGCTGACAAACCAAGAGGATTTGCCAGAGGTCTTCATCCTGAAAGAATAATTGATGCCACAGACAGCAGTGGAGAATTGATGTTTCTTATGAAATGGAAAGATGAGGCAGACTTGGTGCTAGTGAAAGAGGCAAATATGAAGTGTCGTGAAATTGTAATTGCTTTTTATGAAGAGAGACTAACTTGGCATTCTTGTCCAGAAGATGAAGCTCAATAATTGTTCACATTGTGTATATATATATATATATAAAATTTGGGTCTTGGATTTTGATTTACTAGTGTGACGAAATAACTACATCCTAATGAAAATCAAGTTTGATATGTTTGTTTTGAAAGTAGCATTGGAAGAGTTGTTGGGAATTTTTTTTGCATCCACAGCACTGGTTACTTTGAACAAATAAATAAAAGCTTTCTGTAGTTGCTTCCTTTATCAGAAAAGAAAAAAAATACAAAAAATTAGCTGGGCATGGTCGCAGGCACCTGTAATCCCAGTTACTAGGGAGGCTGAGGTAGGAGAATTGCTTTAACCCAGGAGGTGGAGGTTCCAGTGAGCTGAGACCATGCCACCGCACTCTAGCCTGGGTGACAGAGTGAAACTCCATCTCAAAAAAAAAAAAAAGAAAAGAAAAAAAAAGAAAAAGAAAACCCAGTAAGACAAAGTATATGAATCATACTGTTTCTTATAAATAGGAAATTGATTATCACAACAAACCCGTATATGAAAGAAAATGCAGTTTGGTCTGAAATAGAATTTCAGTGTATATTTTAGAGTCATTAAAACCTAATGATCAAGTTCCTTCAGTAGCATTAACAAATAAACAGGTGTTTGATTCCCAGTACTTGTGCAACTGGTTGGGATAAGATCAGAAGTTACCATAGTTCAGTGGCTTCTGAGAACATACAGCACTCTACACTTACAAAGAAATAAAACAATAACTGCTTGGTTTACATTATTATTGCTCAATATGCTACATACTATAATTCATCAAAAATATTTATACTTTTCAATTGAGTATCCTGAGGTTTTTGTTTTGTTTCATTTTGTTTTAAATGGAATCACCGGAAGGTTAGCATAATTTGGAGCCAGAATTGCCCACACAGCTGTCAGGTTTCCTGGGCACATTGCAGGTCTGAATTTGGGTCATAAACAGCTTGGAGATTTCTGACCTCAGGGGCTGTAGGGGAAATCGAATTAAGCCTGTGAGAGGTAGCACATAGCTTTCCTCCATGGTGACCCACTTTGTTCACCTCTCAGGACAAAAAAGGAAAAGACAGCTGGGTGGCAACAGCCAAAGCCATCTGTTGTAGAAATGGGCACAGAGTTCAGATTTGCAAGGACAGGGCAATATAAAAACAAAAGCAAAGAGAAAGAAATAGGTAATTACTGAAATGTCCTTGTAAGAAATAAACAGGCAATGTTAATTCTTATCCAAACATTTTATGAATGTAATATTCATCAACTGTTATTGATGCTGATCCTTGGGCTTGGCAACAACATTCTTGGTATGCAAAATTTGTTTATATAGCTTGTGTGCAGGTTGGTTCATCCAATTACCTAATAAGGACAAGGTTCAGTTTTCATATTGGCCAGTTAGCTCTGTACAGAGAAAAGCTCTGCTGCTTTGCTCTAGCTTGTATGCTATCCAATTCAGGTCTCTTCTAAGCACGGGTTTTGATCATGTGAATAGTTTGGAATACACTGTTACAATTATTGGAAGAACAACTTAAAACAATGTTTTCTTTTATATGGGTAAGAAGATAAGTGACAATAAGAAATACTAGTTACCCTTACCAAGCCCTTATCACAAACTATGTTGCACTTAAGCTGTCTCTCTCTCTCTATTGTTTCATTTAATCCTTATAAAACTGCCATTTTTCAGGTAAGGAAACGGGCTTTGAAAAGTTAAGTAGCTTGACATATAAGTCATATAGAGATAAAATAGTAAAGCTGAAATTTGAACCCAAGATAATAATTTACATTTGCTTAGCATTTTATGGTTTACTAATTGTGTTTACATACATTCTTTCACTTAATCTTCCCAGACAGTCTTGTGAGATAGTCAGTAGTTATAACCTTACTTTTACAAATGCGGGAGAAGGGGCTTTCAGAGGTCACTCAGCTAGCAGATGTCAGAGCCAGTACAAAAAGTCGAGTGTGCTGATTCCAGGTTTCAAGATCTTTTAAATATTAGACAGCCAAGGTCTGGGATATGTGTATTTATTGTGAAGTTCAAGTCTGTATAGTACAAAATGAAATGTAGATTTCATAATTATCCAGATTATTCAGGCTTTAGAGGGTCCAGATGCTTCATTTTTGTTTAATGAAATTAACAACATAACCGGAGAGGGGGAGTGGGTGGGAGGGGGTGAATAATGAGAAATTACTTTTAATGGGTACAATGTATATTACTCAGGTGATGGATACCCCAAAAGTCCTGATTTCACCATTATACAATCCATGCATGTAACAAAATTACACTTGTATCCCATACATTTATACAAATTTAAACACACACACACAAAAGACCTTCATATTTATCCACTCTAGAAGTTGTGTAGTTAACTGATTAAAATCACATGGAATGTATTTTCTTTTTTCTATTTTAATGTTTATATATTAGCTATACAATAAGTTCTTATTTAATGTCATTGATGGAGTCTTGGAAACTTCAACTTTAAGGGAAATGAGGTATAATAAAATGAATTTTACCATAGGCTAATTGATACAAAAAACAGTTAAGTTTCTACAGCATATTTCTTGCCACAAAAAAAAAAATCACCAAACTTCTAAATAAAGATCTCAGACATTTCTAATATTAAACATTAAAATAAATGTGAGCTAGTTAAAAGAAATTAAGAATATAAATAAAATGTTACCAGTGAAGCATATGGAATATTACAAACAAATTTTTCTAGAGATGGGAGAGGGGGGTGTCTCACTATTTTGCCTAGGCTGGTCTTGAACTACTGGTCCCAAGCGATCATCCTGCCTCAGACTTCCAAAGGGCTGTGATTATAGGCACGAGTCATCACAACTGGCCAGACTATATATTTTTATACAATGGAATTATATGGCAATAAAATTTACTATGGCTATAGGCAAACATGGATGAAGCCAAAAACGAAGTTGGAAAAAAAAGTCACAGAAAAATATACTCAGTGTGATTTCACTTATATAAACTTTAAAAACTAAACAACATATTATTTAGGGATACAGATAAACTATTTTTAAAAGGAAGGGAATGATTAACTGAATATTTGGTACTAGGGTTACTTTCGGAGAGAGAGAGAGAGAGTAGGGGATGTGATCCAGGAAGAGCATCCAGAGGTTTTAGATTATATTCTATTGATTAACTTGGGTAGTGGATACATGATTACTTGTTTTATCGATGGTATTTACTTATTTATATTTTTAGAGAGAGGGTCCTGCTTTGTTGCCCAGGCCAGAGTGCAGTGGCTCGAACATAGCTTACTGCAGCCTTCAACTCCTGCCTCAGCCTCCTGAGTAGCTAGGACTACAGGT